ATGGACAATACTTCGAATAAAACATTATGTACCGTTCTTTCACAATAAATGCCCAATTTTTGATAAAAAACGGCGGAAACTTATTTATACTCCTAATATATAAACATTGTAGATAAAAGTTGATGTTTGTCTAAGCTGATAGATTGTTTCGGTGAGAAGATAAAAAGAAATCTGGAAAACAAAACGTCTGTTTTTGACAGAACAATGACTTTCAAGAAAATAAGAGCAAATAAAAGAAGATTAAGATCGTGAAGAAAAAGTGTAAATAATAAGGAAGTGAGAAGAGGAAGAAAAGAAGAAGAAAAGCTAATCAATCACTTTTCGTGTCTCACCTCGTGTTTAAGAGTAGACGTATACATAACAAATGAGTGATGAGTTTAAATTGGTTATCTCAAGAGGAGAATGTCAAAGAGTAATAATCGCTGCTCTACATCTCTCATGACTTGTGAGAATACTAGTTGCTAGTTGATTCTAAAACGCTGATTTTAGATCATTTTGTACAGTTAAATACGTAGTTGTTTAGCACATTAATTTTATTCACCTAATTTCTCAATGATGTCGCGCAAAACCCATTTTTGTGAGACTTTTGTGAGAAATAATGGTAATGATCATGCTTCTCTTCTCCTATTTCTTCATCTGTCTCACACTGATGTGGCTATAGAGTATACGAGGTGTGATCAAAAAGTAAGATGACTCTTAGAATTTCGCGCGCTCTGTACACTCTAATTTCAAAATTTTTTGTTGTTGTGTTGATACACTCGTCACAATCATATGTTCACAGTTTTGACTATATAGCATGTGTTGTTTTTATGTGAGAGGCATAAAGGTTAGACTCGTGTTTGCGTGCTCGGCGATTTTTTGCTGTTGAAAATATAGGAGCAGAGAGTTTGTATTAATTTTTGTGTAAAAAATGGTATTAAGTGTTCAAAAACTCTTGAAATGTTGACAGTGGCGTACGGTGAGTCAACTTTGAGCAAAAAAATGTTTATAAATGGTATAAGTTATTCCAAGAAGGCCGAGAAAATGTTAACGATGAACCTCGCTCTGGACGCCCCAGCACGTCAAAAATCGACGAAAATATTCAGAAAGTGAAAGAAATTGTGTTGAAAAATCGTCGAATCACGATTAGAGAAGTAGCTGATGATTTTAACATATCGTTTGGCTCATGCCAATCAATTTTAACGGATGTTTTGGGTATGACACGTGTGTCAGCAAAATTTGTTCAAAAATTCTTAATTTTGATTAAGCAGTTAGTTTTGTTTTTTGGCCACAAATAATACTACCATCATGCCTCAGCCACCGTATTCACCAGACTTGGCCCCCTGCGACTTTTTCCTCTTCTCAAAATTGAAAAGGCCCATGAAAGGACGAAGATTTGCGACGATTGAGGAGATTAAGGCTGCATCGCTGGAGGAGCTCAAGGCAATACCCAAAAGTGCATTTCAGAAGTGTTTTGACGACTGGAAAAAGCACTGGCACAAGTGCATTGTATCAGAGGGGGATTATTTTGAAGGGGATAACATAATTTTGAATAAATAAATGAATATTTTTTTATAAAAATGAAAAGTTACCTTATTTTTTGATCACACCTCATATTTCTGTAAAAATAATACATATCACTACTGGGCATTAATTTTGTTTATAATAACACAAATTTTATTTAAAACAAACTAAATAAATAAAGTGTACTTATATTTCCATTTAATTTTTATAATATCCCAAGATAATCAAGACTGAAGAGTATATTTTGCAAAGTCTGCAATAACACATTATGCCAGTACAATGTAGCCAGCATTCAAACATAATCTGTTACTTTAACTAGTGTCAACAGAAAAACAGAAAAAAAAGAGAATATAAATGTCTCATGCCGTGATGCAAATATTATTGCATCAATCAAGCAGAAACTTGCTCAAAAAAATGTAGCAAATTTGAAGCATAACATGCTGTTGTTATTTCATTCTTCATTTATTTCTATATTTATGCTGTGTTGTTTTCTTTACATATCGTGCCTACATAATTCACTCACTATGATGATACAGCTGAGTGGAATCTGCAAAGTGCTGATTAAACCTGCGTGCATACTGCTAGCATACTGCTATCATTTGGCTATCGGGGATAATTCTGTATCATAATTCTTTCAGTATATATTATCCTCGGCTATAAAGCAGATCTCTCTATTATGGCGGATTTTGGCCAAAAAACCAGATGATTAGAAATGCTTCTAAATATTCAATAATATACGTATTTGTGGGTTACTTTCAGTCGGGTAATACAATTTAAGAAAAGAGTTTAGTTAATCTGACAATTGCGAATTTATTACACACTAGCCTTTTTGCACACACAGGAATTATATACATGAGTATCCGCGCAGAAGCAGAATGCGCGATGGAACGGCGGATGGACGTATGTGTATCCAATGCGTGTGCGCATTACTATCTCCAACA